TAACTGATCCATCATTAGTAATAGTTGTACCACAGTCGGAGAATGTAATGAGTGGACAGTTGGCAAAATTGTTGTCTACCAGTTACAGTAAGAACCATCCATAAAATGCTTAGCAGTATCAAACAAGTGAAAGTTGGCCCAGGTATTCCCATGCTATGCATATGAAGTATTGTACATTATATCAACATATACTCGAGAATAGTTATCCAGCTAAACATGTATGTCAAAATTATCATATCTGCTGGTTTTAAATCAACAATTTTGACGGATTTTGTGCAAAGACAGCTTCGGGTTCCGTTTCGCTTTGGCCGATGCTTGAAATTTCCCGGAAGTACACTTATTTACCGGAAGTTGTCGTCTCCTCCGCAGGCTCTTCGACTACGCGCGCGGCTCGACACAAAATGGAAAAGAAAAATAGGAGCCGAATTTATGACCTCGGTGTCGTACCGACCCGAGGTAATAAACGTTTAGCGGCGGGGGGGGGGAGGGGTGCATGGGATATGCTCCCCGGGAAAAATGTTTCAATTCTAGAGTCGGTAAAATGCTGATTTTAGGGGTTATTTTATCGTATTTTATAACCATTCAAAACATAACACCTCTACTCAATCACAAACGAGTCCAGAACATGTAAAACATAGCTAGCAATTAAATATGCTGGAAGTGGGACCAGGAATGAACATAATGATTTTTGAGACGTTCTCTTGTGGGAAATATGTATTATTATTATTATATGGCAAGCATTTGTTTTGACGAATCGTGCAATTTGATTGGCTGCTGACGAGGCAGGATTTTCCCGTATTGCCCAAGGGCAATATACGCAATTTTTATTACCCTACGACGAGAGCCGAGTTTCAAACAGCAAAAAGTGTCTAAAAGTCTTTCAAAACTATTCAAAACGAAGAAAAATAAACCTAAACTAAAGAAAAGGAGCAACTGCTGTGGTAGCCTGCTCACAGGCTCTATTATATAGAGCCTGCGACTTTTATTGATATTTTTTCAATACACCCCCTTTGACATAATTAATTGAATATCCGGTAAATAGTAGCCAATCAAAGCAAGTTTTGTTAATTAGATTACCAGAGGTTATTAACAACAACAAAAAGTTTCTCGCGCAATTTTACGCCTGTATCTTTCACTAGGATTCCAAGGTTTAAACTTTAATCTAAAATAATTCATGGTCGTTTTTCCCTAAAGTGTTCTAATATTTAAAACATAGTCCCGTTTGTATATTGCTGTCTTGTTCGTACATTGCCGTTTTAAATTATGTAACTATACTACAGAGACGTAAAATTTTACTCTCCATAAGTTAATGTATTTTATATATTTATATCCAAAATATAACTGTAAGATTTAAGGAAACGTATTTAGGTTTTGAACAAAGTAACAAACACTCTTTTATTAAAAGTGTCGAACAATAGCAGGCTAAAAAACAACATTAATCATTACTGCGTGAAGTCTGTCATTTGCTCAATAATACAATTAACTCAATAGACAATAGACAATTTGAAAAACCGTGGCCGTGGCATAGATTCTGCCGTGTTTAATAACTACATTTTTTTTGTAAAAAGCTCTTGTTGTAATAATACATGTCACTAGATGAGACTCCCAAAAATAAAGTCTCAAAGAGAGAGCGGACTTCGGTCAAAAAGCACGCAAACGACTATTGCAAAATTTCCAGGTGTAAATTCAAATTGGCCAGGTCACACGCGGCCCAATCTCAGAATGAATGATCAGGTGTTGCGGGTTTTTAACGGTTTTTATAAACAAATTTATAGTCAACCAAAACTATTTTAAAAACATTCTTAAATTAGTCAAATAAATACATTTTAACAATAAAATATAGTTGACATGATAGTATAATACCTTTGCATTCTTTTAATTACTCCATGAACTCATTTAGAGCGGTTGATGTAACATTTTCTGTGGCCTACATTGTGTGTGCTCATCTAATAGTATATATAATATAACAGTAAAAGGCTAATCACTGCCGGCACGACCGCATCGCCTTCAAAGCCAAATATCTCCGCTCAAACTTCTCGTACGCCAAAACAAATTCGATTACATCTTTTCACAAAGATTTCTCTTTCTAAATAATATGGTTTGATCGTAGCTTGGGCAAATTTAGCGACGAACGGAACCAAAATCTCCTCAAATTCGGATACTGTTCAAAATACTTAGGGCTGCTCGGGCACGATCGTGGACGTGACGTAATCAATACATACTGACAATAACGCCTTACCGCCTTACGTGGGGTGGGACAGCATAAAGCGACAAACTATCGTCGAATTTGATATGCTGTCTCACCCCGGGTAAAGCGTTATTGTCAGTATGTATTGATTACGTCTCACGTCCACGATCGTGCCCGAGCAGCCCTAAGTATTTTGAACAGTATCCGAAATTGAGGAGATTTTGGTTCCGTTCGTCGCTAAATTTGCCCATATTCTTTAGAAAGAGAAATCTTCGTGAAACGATGTAATCGAATTTGTTTTGGCGTACGACAAGTTTGAGCGGAGATATTTGACTTTGAAGGCGATGCGGTCGTGGCGCCAGTGATTAGCCTTTTACTGTTATATTATATATAGATGAGCACACACAATGTAGGCCACAGAAAATGTTACATCAACCGCTCTAAATGAGCTCATGGAGTAATTAAAAGAATGCAAAGGTATTATACTATCATGTCAACTATATTTTATTGTTAAAATGTATTTATTTAACTCATTTAAGAATGTTTTTAAAATAGTTTTGGTTGACTATAAATTTGTTTATAAAAACCGTTAAAAACCCGCAACACCTGATCATTTATTCTGAGATTGGGCCGCCTGTGTCCTAACTAGAAATGACCAGTAGACTTATAGTCAATGGCTGAGCTTTGGTATTTATGTGTTGTTGTGCCAACGTTGGATCTGTTTCCCATGCATGTTATACAATATATTTTATACAAAGCTCGAATAGGCTACCCGGTGTAACCAAACCAAATGTATGTCTTCTTACATTTCGGTCTGAAAAACCCTATTAAAACTGTGTTTGAAAAGTAATTTATAAATTGTATTTGAATCTAAAGGTTTAAATTATACTGGATATGTAAGTTGTTGTTTTACCATGACATGAAAGTCTCAGTTTGGTCTATCTAAAATCCAAAGTACTTATGCCACAGTGTAAGTAAGTATACCTTCCAGTGAAGCTTTTCAATACAAATCACGTTTTTTATATTATAAATATACCTACAAATACACTGTACCGTCACACACCGTCATAAAGCCTTTACATTTGATAATTAAAACCTAACTAGTAAATTGGATTGCTCTTTACCTCAAAGTTTCGAGTTTTTCATCCTCATAATTCTGTGGTTTCGACCACGCACGCATGACGCCAGCACAACAAAAAACATCGGTAAATAACTAATTAATTATGATTGTTACGTTTTTTGTAGCCCGCGTGCAGGCCCAAGGGAGCAGGCTCAAGGGAACTTGATAGTGGGCCTGCACGCGGGCTACGTTTTTTGTCCTGATATTTTAGTGAGCCACCAAAAATGTCGCAACATGTGCGCTGATAATACTGGTTTTGCGCTATAGTTTTGTGGAGTCCACACCACGCACACAGTGTATTTGAGAAATAGTTTAGAGTTTACAATGGGTTTATAAAATAGGCCAACAGGAAAATTAGGAGATTACAATTTCGACAAATCGCCAGACTACAATTTTACCCCCATCAAAGTTGGCGACGGGAAAGGGGATGAGGGGTGACAGAGTGGGGCCTGAATAGCACCAATTTTTCTCATCAACGATTTTTGCAGTTTCCAAACTTTTATGTAAAAAATCTAAAATTCACTCACAACTAAATTGCTCAATTTTTAAAGGCCAATTGCAGTCGATCCCCAGTCGCAATGGTTTTTAAGGCCGTCGTCACATGAGGAAATGCAATTTTGGCTGCAACTTGCAACGCAACCTCGCAAGCCAGGGTCTTTAAAGCATGGTTTGCGAGGTTGCTTGCAACGCAATTCTGACATTGTTATCCAAATCATGCAGTTCAGAACTGGTAGAGCTTTCAAATTTACAATAATATTGCACTTTTATACCTGTCACGTATGTATACTTTAATTTTTTTAAAAAATTTTTAAAGGTGATCATGTCACCACCAGTGAAATTGGTGGAGCACCGTCAGGTCAAGCAAGTGGTAAGTCAGTTGTTTGCTTTGTTAATGTGAATGAAAAAAAGTAACGAACGGAAAGTAACGTGTAGCAAAAATTACCTCAGGGAACCTCTTCGTGCAAAGCGACTTTTTTAGGTACACAATTAAGTTAAAATTTAATTTTAAAATTTTAAGGATTAAAATCGAGAACAGTAATGTGAGAATTGACTCAAATCTGTAGTCATACCTCACGATTTAAAGCAGCTAAATGCTACGGCGACAAAAATTTTGCTACAAAAAATGCTACACAAGTCAACTATGAGACGAACTCCGCTCGAGATATTTTGTCCTGGCTATACCAATGCAAAATTTGAGTGTACTTTACTATCATACTACTACCCTAGCCCTTACCCATAACTCAAATATTAACCCATCCGCACTCATTTCGCAAGGCTTTCCGCAAGATTACGTCGTTGCGTCATTATTACCACAAACCGCGGAAACTCCCCAAGACGGGTTTCAGATGCTAATGTATATATAATAATCCATCTTGCAAAATTTATAACCCCGCGCCACAAAAAACAACAACAAACACAAAAAACACACATAAATTCAAGTCATTGGTTTTCTTTGAGATATACAGACACAACTAGTGGAGACGAACACCTATACAAGTCATTTTTGCGTAAAAACATGGTTGTGGGCATCACACTTGATAGAACTTTACTCTATCATATTTATCAATATATTTTGTCACACTGGCAACATATGTATTAAGCCGCGGCTACACGGGCGATATTTTCCTCGCGATTTTTTAAAATCGTCAACTGTGGTGGCTACACGCGAGAAAAATATTTTGATGACACTGGCAAATGCCGAGCCTCAATTTCACTCTCGCATCTCATTGGCTAGATAACGGTTCGTCGTGTCGTGTTTTTCATTTGAGGTGGCTACGCGAGAGATAATTTTGTAGACACGACGAAAAATATTCAACTAATTGAAATTATCGCGATCAACTTTGACGATTTTTCCTGACTGTCGGATCGCGCGTTCGTGGGTGGCTACACGAAAGATTTTCGAAATTTGTTGACGATTTTAAAAAATCGCGAGGAAAAAATCGCCCGTCTAGCCGCGGCTTTCATGCTCGCCAACTGGATTCTATATAGCTCAGTTAGTTAAAAACGTAAAACCAGGAACGCAGGGCCGCAAGTTCCATATCCCTGCAAGAGGTATAGGTGGATAATCCAAGTGAGCATATACATACATGACATTGTACAGTGTATATACACGATTATAGAGACCTAACCTAGGTCCTCTGTCATGAACTGCCCTGTGATTCCGGTGTAGCGCTCTAACCAACTGAGCTACAGAGTACCTACATATATATATATATATATATATATATATATATATATATATATATATATATATATATATATATATATATATATATATATATATATATATACCGGTATTCGTACTTTTTATGTAAACCTTCAACATAAGTCTGTATGAGAATGGCGTTTTTACTTATAAAGCGCATTTATTAAGGCGTATTCGCGTTTTTTTTCCAGATATTACCAAGACCCACAGGAGCAAGACATATTTTTCCGATCTGAAAAAGGAAATATATGCACGTACGTATATACATTACCAAATAATAACAATGAAAAATATATTTCAAGACCACGCAAGCGGGCTGCCAATGGCCAAAAGCAGAGGATATTTCAGAAATGATGAAAAAATTGAACTTTCGAGTAAAAAAAAATGGTAGGCGAAATTCTACAGATATATTTCACTTTATAGTAGGGTGATAAAATAATAAAAATGCATGAAAACGTTCATTTCTACAATATATGAGACCTCGCTAGGTTAAAATTTATGTCAATTCAGATGCCAAAAAATAAACTAGCAAGCCACATTTCTTCTCTATTTCGAGCACTCAATATAAACAAACTGTAACAGCAAAGTTGTTTTCTTGATGCTGAACAATCTATTCGCTTTTTTAGAGAAAATACGAAGTCTTTTCCCAGACAAACCTAAATTACGTGATACAGGTATGCGCCATTTGGAAATTTCACCTACGCCACTATCATACAGAATTATTTTCATGGGCACTTTAACCATACTTAAAAAAATTCATTAATAATTCATGAAGAAAACACAAAGAAAAATCATAAGCGTGTCGTATCCTTATATGTGATACAGATTCATGTTGATTTACAGAAACTTTAACTTTGATTTTCTCGGCTTAGACAACGTTTATTTTTAAAATTACTTCGCCAATGAACTCATAAGATGAGTCGTTTTTGTGGGTAGTCGCGCATGCGCAGCTAATCACTATGTGAGAGACTGAAGCGCGATCTTCCGTTTCTCTGTGGCTCTGTGGCGCTGTGGCCTTCGTGTCCGCGGTGTCCTGCTGCGCGGTTCCTTTTATCCTTGAAATACGAACCGTCTATAGACCACAGGCTAAGTTCACTATTAACTGGAGGCTAGTTTGTATAATAAATTAGGTTCGTCCCCGACTTGGTTGACAAGACAATTTCATTATTTCTATATGATCCTGAAACCATTGCCACCAGATGAAACACATTAAATGCGTAAAATTTCCACAGGCTCACTAATACAAACAGTTTCATCTAATTCACCAATAGTTCGGTCTGTTTTCCTCACTTTTCCGTGATATGGTCTTTCCACGAGCACTTAGAGATATTTTCTTTCCCAGCAGCCACCGCATGTATATTTGATTTACCTAACTGACCATTTTCGTTCTGCTGTTGTGAAACCACAATGTATATTATGTCGTAGTATCATAAAAAAATAGTATTTTGGCAACTTTAAATCTTTCGTAACCGGCCATTATATTAATACAGGAAGACTGTTCAAGTGGCGAGGAATCCAAGTCGATTGAGTCTGCACGTTTAGTGAAGAAACAAACAGATATTGGACTAGCTACAATATATTTTAAAAACAGAAATATCTAGTTGAGCACGAGGAAAGATATTGAGAAACTGAAAAGGCCGTTATGATTATGTAGTTGAAATGATCTTTTGTTGCGATACAAATTAGACCGCCGGTTTTTTTTTTCATTTTATCGGCACCTTTAGGCTCTAGCCGTGTAAACGGAAAGTCGAAGAAAAAGAAGAAGAAACGGAGAGATGAGAACGAAGGTTGTTGTTTCCTTTTCTTTTTGAACGTTACTACATATAAATTCTGTCATGATTCACTTCAGAAGTCTGAGCATCGAAAGATATGACTCGTTTGATCTTTAATGTCTGTGTTTTTGTGTTCTCTTTGACAGATATTGAAACAATCTTACAGCGGTTCACCGTGGACGATTTATGTTGAGACGGGAGTAGGTTAGCGTTGCGCATGATTTCCATATTTAGTCCACAAACACAGAGTTGCAAAAAAAGATTGCCTCGGGAAGCTCTTGAAAGGTGAACTAGCCAGTGGCTGCTTGAATAAACTCTTTATTTAATATTTCACAGGGAATTGGATCATACAAATAATTCCATCTAGGACGGAAGCATATAGTTGAAAAGCTGGCTTCCTTCCGAACAGGGGAATGGCTACATTATGGTGAGTTTTTTGTGGCTAACCACTATGTTATACTGAAACAAGGATGTCAATCCACCCTTTTCGAGGTTGACCTGCGGGGGGGCGGGGGGGTAACACGTGTAGTGCGATGCTAATTTTTCGGAAAACAAACGACATTCAGCTTTTCGGTCATGTTGTATTATAATACTGTAATAAATATTACTTTAATGGTTAAACGATATGCTTGTGCTCCAAAGTACTATCCATGTTTATATTATAATAATCTTACTTAGTGTTGTTTGTTTGTCCGAAAAATTAGCACGTGTTACCCACGCAGGTCAACCTCGAAAAGAATGGCTGTAAGTTAAAGGCATAGGTGTTAAACTTATTCTGATTGGCTTAGAGGGAATTTTCTCACCTTTTTCATCCTTTGTTTATATTTTAATTAGTAATTCTTGTACTTCGTGTTTTTCCAAACATATTTGAGCTATTTAAAAACTTCAAAGAGGTACAAACACTGTATTCTTGGGTTACAGAGTTTTTGGACTTATGGGGAAATTTTATGGGGATATATGAAGCGATAAAGTGTATTTTAGAAGCTTTTCAAATCCCTGTCATGAAATTTCAGAATTCGCACGCGCCAAGTTCAATACACTGATTTTAAACCACATTATCTCTGAAATGAGAGCTCGTTTCGAGACAAAGTTTATAGAAACAGATATAGTATTCATTGTAGAGTATTTACTTAGTTTTAATACGGTTTTACTCGAAATGTTTCTTGCCAAAAATGTATATACGCACATGACAAGTTGAACCTACTGTCTTCTGAAAGTACTTCGGCTAAAATAACAACTTGAGCAAGACGACCAACAGTAGGGTCACGAAAACAGTCGAAATCATGCCATAAAATGCACGAAAAGTTCTTCTAAAAACTTAGTTTTAAACTAGATTGAACTTGCTTTAATGCTATATCGTATTTCATGAAAACATACCACGTATTTTCATTCAAAAACACGCTCAAAAACTACTCACTTGGATTTAGTATTCATGTTTCTTGCGATTACCCACTTCACTTTTCCGTTAGATTGAAAGAAATTGCTGTTTTTCTGGTAGACTTGCCCAAGTCGCTCGCTAGGGACCGCACGTAGCAAGAAGGGAGCGCTTGAGAACCACGAACCGCGGACTTTGGAAAGTCTATTTTTCTGGCTGAAATTCGCGCAACTTGATTTGGACAAGAACTTGACTTGAAACATATGCACACTCCCTTATGTTTTACAATATATTTTATATGTAAAACTCTTTAAAAACCTCTTCTTTTTCATCCTTAAAACTTTCTGCAAAGTCCTATCTTGTGACACTTTGCGGTTGTCACAGGTTTTGCAAAAAAATTGAGTTTTAAAATCGAATATCTTCGCAACCTTTTGATCAATTTTCTCGCATGATGTATCGTTTGAAAGCCCGAATTTTGCACTTTATACTCGTGACCGTTGCTAGGCAACCCGATAAACACGCGCTAGACAATCGTGCCCGGAAGTTGACGTGTCATCCAGGGCGCATGAGGGCGCAATGAGACTTACCCCGTTCCCAATTCCAGGGCGCATGGGGGCGCAATGAGACTTAATGAGTTAATATTCATATCGTAGTCCAGTGCTCATATCGGAGTCCAGTTATCGTAGTCCAAGTTTCATGCTACGGATGAGTTTCTGCAAAGTAATCTTAGTCAGTCAAGCAACAGCGGTCTTTCGCATGAATTTCGACGGATTCGGGTGTGGAATCAAGCCATCTGATTGGTGGATACGCTCATCTCCATGGATACGACCATTTGCGACGGATCCGTGGGGAGGCCTGACGGATTTGCACTATCAGGGGCTCCATATAAACCTTGTGATTGGTTAATTTTAAAAAATACTTCACTGTTATTGGCTAAAATTTTCGACGGATTCGCAGCGTGGGATATTCGTCTCTACAGACTGATCTGACTGCTTAGTGGTTAGTGGTTATTTGTATTCAAAGTATCAATATACTATAGTAAAGTCCGTGTTTCAGTAAAAACGATATAGTATGCAGGAATTCTATCGCATAACTATTGCTCTGTTTGGATGCCATAGAAGACGATTAAACAGCACAAATTTCTGCCTCAACACTCGTAGCATGTTCATAAACGAAACATATAAACGGACGCGAAAAAGTGTGCTACAACTGACAGCGATGAGGTAAAGATATTGCATTGGTATTTATATTAGTTATACTGGTTTCGAGAGTGCGATTGATGTTTTATATTACCACATAGTGAATACGGATAGCTAAATTTATATAGGCCGTGCGAATATACTAGTAATTCCGAATATTATAATAATAATAATATCTAGCTACAGCAGAAATTTACATATTTCCGCGGTCGGTTGAAAGATGGTTTATAAAGTCATAAACATATTACTATTAGCATTGTATTTATTCTTGAATGGACGTATCGTTAACATGGGAGATATTTATTATATCGACTAAGGACTAAATCCATGTCGCACTACAAAATACTATAAGTATAAACAGTTGCTAATGTTGTTTTGACAGCGTGGTCTGCTGCATGTAATTTAATATGTGCTTATTCGACTGTGCGCACTCAAGGATGTCGACCTGCTATGGGTCTACACGCATCCTATTAAAACATTGGCATTGCATATTATTAAAAAGCATATTGCATATATGGATAAAAGTATTGTCGGGTACAAAATATATATTTATGACAGTTTGTGTTTGCGTTCCTATATTGATAATGGCTACATACTGCATATATTTATAACGGGCGAGACTGTTATTTTTTACTTCGTGATACTGTAATTTCATCATTGTGAATCAGGAAATTAAATGTAACATACATATTATTAAACACTGTTTTCTTGTCGCGGTTTAATAAATTAATATTAAAAATAATAATAATATTAAAAATAATAGTCCTAAAAACGACACACCTGGAAATGACATTTAATTTTTTGACTAACGTACGAAAATTCCTGGATCCGCCCCTTTAACTGGAGGCTAGTTTGTATAATAAATTAGGTTCGTCCCCGACTTGGTTGACAAGACAATTTCATTATTTCTATATAATCCTGAAACCATTGTCACCAGATGAAACACATTAAATGCGTAAAATTTCCACAGGCTCACTAATGCAAACAGTTTCATCTAATTCACCAATAGTTCGGTCTGTTTTCCTCACTTTTCCGTGATATGGTCTTTCCACGAGCACTTAGAGATATTTTCTTTCCCAGCAGCCACCGCAAGTATATTTGATTTACCTAACTGACCATTTTCGTTCTGCTGTTGTGAACCACAATGTATATTATGTCGTAGTATCATAAAAAATAGTATTTTGGCAACTTTAAATCTTTCGTAACCGGCCATTATATTAATACAGGAAGACTGTTCAAGTGGCGAGGAATCCAAGTCTGAAAGTGAAGATGACGAAGCCGAAGGTAAATTTCCAGGGCATACTAATGTAGATTTATTATTACCATTATTATTATTATCAGTGCAGTCTTTTGCATTTCTCTACTTATATCCATTGCAAATCTTTCTCGTTGTTAATATCATCTTATATCATATCTACTTATATCATCTTTCGGTCGTTTCATCCCTTTTCTTAAACAGCCAATCACCGATGTATAACTAATGGTATAACGTTATATCTGTCCCGTCTTTCCCGTAAATCAAAACAGAGCTGCTGATACTTTCTTATCTTCTCCTGTCGTTTTTCGTCTTTGTTCGAATGATTTGGCCATGCCATGTCTATTTTCATAATCTCTTTTTTTCGCTCTCCTCAAGCGTCTGATCGGGTCTCTTTAACTGCCGTGGAACTCATGCTCACCCGATGTTCCCAAACCCAATTTAGCTTCTTCCCGCTGTTCTCAATCACTTTTCCTTTCCCTCATCTCTCTGTGTATCGCCTCGTTCCTTGTTACTATATAGTAACAATTCATTATCATTCGCCCATTTCACCGCCAGTACTAATTTCAACTATTATCATTATGCTTCGCAAGGTTCCACATGAAGTGTTTACCTACCTCACTCACCCCATCAGGCATCGGGCAAATAAATGAAAAATCAGTACATTCTAATACCAGTCCTTCAATACTTTTAATGTTGTGATGTTTCAGATGGAAATGATGTTAATAAACATGCAATGGCAAATAAATGTTTTGACAAAACAACAAAGAAATCTGGAGGTAAGATTTTCACATTTTATCTAATTATTTGCGATTATTAAACGGATAAAGATATAGTCCAACATTTACAGCTTTTTCGGTCGTACTGACAACGTCAATAAACAAGACATTACAAACGAAAGAGATTATCGAAAATACATATGCAAACGTATTTTATTCCTTTTCGATACCTTGTTCGAGAGTCTTGAGAAGAATTTTTTTTCATCTAACAAACGTTGTTATATTTCCAAGGGCATGATTTGATATTTGTCGGGCAATCACGCCCTTCAGGAGCAATGAAGACAATTCATATTTAATTATGAGAAAAAATTTTTGTTCTTGTCTAGTGTACATAATTGCGGCGAGTGAGAAAGATGGAAAGAGGGTCTATGATAAAACCAACTGTTGCTTCTTCTGCGAAAAAGAGT